TTTGGCAGCTGGCGGGTATGGGGATCTGAACCCCTGACCTTTCAAGTATGTATTTTTAAAAAAATTGCAAAGGTTTGTAGAGTATTAAATTAGTCAGATTTATCGTCTTATCTTTTCCTGAGTGACAGCCGCTGTTGCTCTATCTTCTTCCCCTTCGGATTTTGTTCCTTTAATGTTTTGAGCCAAGATTATAAGGCCGGGCCCCGCTGGCTGAGCCCAGGTATTGTCTTGCACTCAGTGACTGACATTGCCACACCCTCTGCTGAAGGCATCTTCAGTCTGGTGGACTTGGTTTGAGAGATCCTGTGGAGCAGCTGTGTCAGTGTAAGGCCAGAACTTGGCATCATGATGGAGAAGATGAACGCATGATCTGGGGAAATGCCTCCTGCCTCCTCTCCTCACTGCCTTGGGAGTTCACTGTCCATAGGTTCTCTGCCGCCTACTTCCTGGGGGGAGGCCGGCGTCTGTACGCTTTTGGTATCAAAGGCCTTTGTCAAAGGGTTACTGCCAAGCAGTGGGGAGCAGTGGGGAGCAGGGCAGAGCAGGTGGAGAGGCAGCCCCCAGAGAGCCCTGCCCGCCTGCCCTAAGGGCTCTGGCCACAGCACCAGCATTCGCCTTCTCTGGGGGTCACCTCCAGCAGCCCACGATAGATGAGTGTGTGCTAGGCCTGCTAAGGAAAGGCGACCTGGGCCATCAAGTGGGACCACAGGGTCCAGCATGGTCAGCCGAGTGCTGAGGGCAGGGAGATTTCCAAGAGGGAAGAGGCCCTGAGGCAGCAAGGGTTGGGTGGTGAGGGCTGGGGCATCGCTGGAGAGCCCCAGTGTGACATGTGTAACGTGTGTGATGCGCTTCAGGCACCTGGAGCAGGGCTACCAGGGCAGGCTGAGCCTCCTGCGGTCGGAGGTGGAGATGGAGCGAGAGCTGTTCTGGGAGCAGGCCCGCAGGCAGAGGGTGGCGCTGGAGCAGGATCTGGGCCGTCTGCAGGCTGAGGAAGCTGGCCTCCGCCAGAAGCTGACCCTGGCCCTGAAGGTAGGTGGGCACCCCCAGGGAACCCCGCCCCAAGGGACAAAAATGGGGCCGGAGCTTAAAGCTGGAGCAGGGCAGGCCCGTGAGTGTAGCCTCTCACACTCACATCTTCCTGATCCAGGACCCGACACCTTCCAGTGCCTCAAGTTTACATTTCAGAGGTAGGGAGACACCTGGTATTTCAAACCAAGGAACATTTGCTGCAGTGGGGCCGTGTCACACCTCAGGCAAAGCAGAAGGGTCCTGACTTTGCAAGAGCACCATCGCCTCTTCCTCTTCTCCCTCTCACTCCTTCTCTGGGTCAAGTGGACCAGAGGTCAGGGAGGGTTAGTGGTTGTACCCCAGAGACTAGGAGCAACTCTGGGGTCACCTGCCAGAGCCCTGGCTTTGTGGCCTGGACCCGATGCAGTTTTATGGGCTTTGGTGGGCATCCCACAACCCGCCCCCACCCCGCATCTGGCTCCAGTGAGGTGCCGGGCACATGGACAGCCCCAGCGCCTGGTCTCTGCTCTGCTCCTGCCCGCCTCCGTTCCTGAGTTCCTAACTTGCAGCCCTGCGGTTTCTTTCTGCCTCTGCCCTGCCCTGCCTCCCACTGCCTCTACCTCCTGGAGGAGGAGCCGGGCACCCTAGGAACCACCCACCCACCTTGCTCTGCACCCCACTGTCCCTGTCAACCCTTCACTCAGTCTGTGTCTGCAGATGCCACCTTCCTCCCTGATGGACTCTGAGCTGTGTTGGTGCAATTTCAAAGCCCTCATTTAGAACACTGTTCAGAAATAATGCTTTGCTAGCCCTTCTGAGCACAGGGTGGTGGTGGGGGGAGAAGTAAAGACAGTGGGCAGTGATGGAGCTCGGGCACAGCCTGCACAGGGCAGAGGCAGTCAGCACCCCACACCCTCCCTTCTTCCCTGAGAGGTGACACTGAGACCTGCCTGCCTTCTCCTCCTCTGCCTGGTAAGCAACTGGCCTGTGTCTTTTAGGAAAACAGTCGATTGCAGAAGGATATTGTGGAAGTGGTAGAGAAGTTTTCGGATTCAGAGAAGCTGGTCCTGAGGCTGCAGAATGATCTGGAGTTTGTGCTGAAGGACAAGGTGAGTCCTGCTGCTGAGTCTTCAGAGAGAGACCTGGGGTGGGGATCAAAAGTGGTCAGCGTCCTGAATAAGATGACATAGGGGACCGAATGTAGTGTTTTTCTATTAAAATTCTAGAATGGAGAGAAAATTAGCATCAAGACTGTCCGTCTGTTTTGCTCCCGCTCCTGACAGTGTAGGGTCCATCCTCCTAGCACACAAAGTGTCTTTAGCAACAGCCTCAGTGACTGGTTCCCTGTGGCTGGGAGTGCAGAAGGAGCGCTGTGCCACTGGGGGGCCTCCCAGGCAGCTGTGGTAGGAATGCAGCTCAGCCTGCAGGTGTGAGCGTGAATGCCTTCAATAAATCTGGAAAATCCCTCGGCCTGGAGAACTTTTAAATGGGGAGGCAGGGGTTTGGGGGAAAAGGAGGAGGGATGGGGTGGTTGTACCTGGAGCTACAGAGCCTGGTGGGGAGCAAGCAAGCCAGGCTCTCAGGGCCCAGGGGCTGGGGAGCAGCTCCACCTGGCCTGAGGCCCTGGCAGTTATGTCGGTCCAATCTGACTTTCAGCTAGAGCCACAGAGCTCAGAACTCCTGGCCCAGGAGGAGCGGTTTGCGGCAATTCTGAAGGAGTACAAGCTCAAGTGCCGGGTACGTGCCCCGCCCATCCTCCTTAGCTACCTGGAGCAGCCCTGTGTCCCACAGGACCTTGGGACTGGGGCCCTCGCGGTTGTCATGGTGCACAGAGCCCTCCCCACATTCCCCCATCCCACCTGCAGCAGGGGTCGAACAGGGTACCCGTGATGGGACCAGCACTGCAGGTGTCAGGGTCTGTCTGGCTCAGACCTAGGTGCCAACGTGTAGACCTTTTCCGTCTTACCTCCTGGGTGGGCCGCACTCCTGGTCTCTGTGTGTAAGGTGGTCCAGCAAGGGATGGCAGGAGCCTCTTCTCCAGGCAGTGTCTGACCACAGCTGGGCCTGAGCCTGCACAGTGCTGCCGTGTTGTGCTGCCTGTGTCCTGGGGACTAGTCCAGGTCCCGAGACTGATGGGTTCCTGGCTAACCTTGGCACCTGTTCTGAATGCCACCTCTGTGTTTCCAGGCACCATGTAGTGTGTCATCTCGTATCCGATTGTTAATGTTTAGATTTCCACAGCCAAGCCTAGCAATGTGGATCAGGCTCCTACCTCTGGAGACCCTGGAGTGCAGGGCAGGGCAGAGCTGGTGAACGAAATTTATACCTCACGACCCCCATACACTTACTGTGGACCCCAAAGAGCTTTTGTTGATGTAGGTTATGTGGGTTATATCTAATATTTACTGTGGTAAAAAGTTAAAGTGGAAATTTTTTTAAGTTTAATTCATTTTAACATAATAAGTTAACATAATAACAGGTTAACATAAATAGCACAGTTTTGGGAAAATAGCTATTTTCCAAAAGAAGGAAAAATTAGAAGTGTGCCATCGTTTTACATTTTTGCTAGTTCTTTAATGGCTGGCTGTGGCAGACAGCTGGCTTCCCGCCTCTGCTTCTGTGTCCGTCTCTTGTGATATGGCCTTGGGAAGCTCCACCATGTCCTCATGAGAGGGCGGGCATGAGGAAGGCAGCCCCCACCCCGATGCCTGCCCCCGTGGGCTGTGCTGCTTGCAGACGGGGTGGGTTTCTGCGTCTGTAGGACACAGCCACTGTATGTGTCCTCATGAGAGGGCGGGCATGAGGAAGGCAGCCCCCACCCCGATGCCTGCCCTCGTGGGCTGTGCTGCTTGCAGACGGGGTGGGTTTCTGCGTCTGTAGGACACAGCCACTGTATGACTGATCAGAGCTGTGGTTGGGCCACCGCCCTCCTGACATACTTTTAAATGCTCACTGCTGAGTTCTGGGCCCTTCTCCTGTCTCTCCCTTTTCCTCCCTGCTTGCTTGAGCACTCTGAGGCTGTGCGACCTTCTAAAAGTCAGGTGTGCCTTGAAGGCCTCGCAGCCCAGATGGCGGCAGGCCAGTTCCACCCCTGCCCCGTCTCCCCAACCCTGCTCTGGCCTGCAGGACAGTCCTCCTGCAGGAATTTCAGCACAATAAAAAAGGAACAAACCAGAGTTGAGCTGGGTTGATTATTAACAATACAGAAAAGTTCTTTCATTTATAAAGAAATTCAACACATGGTTCCTTAATAGTCAGCTCCCAGTTAGGATTTAACTTACCAAAAGTTAATTTATGCAAAATTTATACAGAAACCCTTTTTAATTTTTTAACAAAGAGAGGTATAAAATTTGTGTTAAAATTAGGCACCATCAAAAACCTCAGCCCTTGACCCACCTGCTGCTCACACATCCTTAGTATAAAGAAAGTTATGTCCAAACAAGTTATCAGAGTAGCAACTAGAAACAACTGAATGCCAGTATCTGGGAATGCCTGAGCATATTACCACTTATTAGAATCCTGTATAGCCTTGAAAATAATGAGGAAGTGGATGATTCTAGACACCGAAGCCTAGCTAGGCAACATTGCCAAGTGAACAGAGATATGAAATATGCATCCTCAGATCACAGCCGTTGAAAACCCTGTGTAATCCCCACTGGTAAAAATGAGAAGAAAAATCTCAGGATGTCAGTAGAGTTTACTGTTCATTCACTTATTTCTTCTGCAAACTTGCTTTACTACTAAATAATTACAATAAAAAATTTCAAGTTGAGCACTGTAATTCATAACTACCTGAAGATGCGATTATCTGAGACTGAATTAATTTTACCAGGTTGGTGATACTAGTTACCTTGTGTGGTGATGCAGTAGACACAACTGGTTTTAGTTGCATGTAATTCTTTCTATGTAGAAGTCACCTGTAAGGCTTTGCTTCACGTCACCTCATGCTTATTTCTGGGGATGCTGATGTGGTCATTGTTAGTGAACAAATAGTTGCAAAGTAATTTTGCATGATTTGAAAGTTAGACAGATTTTGTGGTGAGAACATCTGTCCTTGAAGCTGGTAATTATTTAATGGGCTGCCCCATGGCCAGAGAAACAGGTTTTAAAGGTCTGTCATCAATTTACTTCTTCATGACTTCCCTCCAATTTAAAGTAAAATTGACTTTGTTCCTGCTGTGTGTTGCTTTGGCAATACAATAGGATACAGGTGAGCCGAGCTGCTGCTCTGGAGCGGCTGTGCGTGCCCACTTCCTGTCTGTGGTTTGCCCTCTCACTCCAAACCTGACTCCGGGGTCCCAGTGCTTTTCCCTGCACTGCCTCATTCTGGCTTTTGAAAATCCTGTGTGTGGTCAGCTGTGTCACCCTACTGCTGAACTCAGGTGGGGTGGGGTGTGGGCCTATCGTGCAGGTGGAACATGCTGGACAGCTTTCTGCCAGGGCTGTAGTCACCTGCTGGGTTCTTTCCTTCTCTCAAAGCTTAAGTTGGGGCTGGCCCGGTGGCGCACTGCTACAGTGTGCCGCTTGGGAAGTGTGGCGGCGCTCCTGCCGAGGGTTCGGATCCCACATACAGACTGGTTCCCGCTCACTGGCTGAGCGAGGTGCGGGAGCAACACCGAGGGTTGCAATCCCGTTGCCGGTCCCGGTCCGGTACGGGCGCGACACTGAGGGTTGCAATCCATTGCTGGTCATGAAAAAAGACAAAAAGGAAAAAAAAAAAAGCTTAAGTAGACTGAGAACCTAGAAATAATGTTTCTTTGGTGCACCAGGTTTTACAAACATAATCCCCTTCTTTCTTTCACATGACTCTGTTACAAAGACCTGCTACCCTTTCCACATTTGGTCCTTGAAATTTTATTTTCTGAAACATCAGCAGAGATATTTTAGTGCTAACCTATTTATTTAGAGATTTCTCCTTTCCACTTCTTGGGTATTTGTTTATTTCAAAGTAACATTTGAGTATCTTAACTTTTTATTTGAAAATAATTTTAAACTTACACAGAGTTACAAATGTAAAAACAGTGCCAAGAACACCTGCATACCCTTTACCCAGATTCACCCGTTTACGTGGTCTGCTGGTTGCTTTATCTCTTGCATACTTGCTCACTGTGTGTGTGTGTGTGTGTGGGTGGGTGTGAGCATACAGACATAACTATTTCCGAGCCATCTGAGAATAAGTTACATTCATCATGACTCTTTACCCTTCAACTCTTGAGTGTACAGTTCACCTAGCAGTGCTGGGCAGGCGCCTGCTCCTGCAGGTGCACAAGAGTTGATTATTAACTGTTCAGGAATTTTGCTGGCTGCTTGTTAAACCTTTGATACCTTTATATCAGCTATGGTGGGATTATTTACATCACAGAAATCTGTAGAAGCTACAAATTAGGGCTTTTTTTCTTGGAGAGGCAGTTTCCTAACTTGCCGCTGAATAAAAATAATCCTGACACACAGTCGGCTTCACGAGTTGACATTAAAGCAATGCTGGAGCCTGCTCTCTGCATTGTGTTCCTCTTAGATGATCTCACAGTGTCCTGTGGAGAACTTCCCCTGCAGGATGTGACTAGAGTGGGACCTGGTGCTGCCCTAGTTGTCCTGTGTCTTCAACGGGCTTTATTCTGAAACATTCCCAGGGCCTTTCTTTGTCTTTGATGACACTAATATTTTTGAGGATTACTGTCCTCCCTTCCCATTTCTCATAGGAACTTTCTCATTTTGTGTTTTTCTGACGGTTCCTTTTGATTAAATTGAGGCCCTGCACTCTCATCTGGAACGCTGCATAGGTGATGTTGTGTCCACCTGTCTTCATTGGAGGAGGTGATTTCAGCCACCTGGTCAAGATGCTGCCTGATTTCCCCACTGTATAATTACCATTTTTCCTCCCTTGCAATTAATAGGCAGTCAGTGGGGAGACACTTTAAGACCATGTAAATTGCCCGCTCTTCATCAAGATTTTCCCTGGATTTAGCATCCACTGATCATTCTTGCCCAATTCCGTCTGTACCTTGATGGTTGCAAAATGATTTTCCAACTCCAGCACCCCTCCACATCTGTCAGTGCCGCTGGCAATCTACTGGAGTAAGTCTTGGAGATCCAGTGTGTATTATGCATGTTGCACATCTCGACTGATACTCTTCACACTTCAGATCACAGCTCAGTAGCCCAGTGGCGAGTGGCTCCCTTGGACAGTGCAGAGCCAGGTTCACAATGGGGCACCTCCCACAGATACAGTGGTAGAAAGTGATTTAGGGCGCGAGAAAGTCAAGAAGTGGCCTCTCGCTTAGCTCACCACATAGTTAGGGACTCAAAATCCAGATTGTGTCCTATGCTGGAGGTCCAGAATTGATACCACTTGCCTCATAGTACACTTATCCCATAGTGGACCCTCCCGGGAGACATGGTATGCCCAGGTCATCCCCTCTCTGCTGGGCCCAGTGGTGGCAGCAGCTGGAGGAGGTGTCTGGCTCTGCCCCACAGGATCTGCAGGACCGCAACGACGAGCTGCAAGCTGAGCTGGAAGGCCTGCAGGCACGGCTGCCCAAGAGTCAGCACATCCCCTCAGGGGGTCCAGGTGGACACGGCCCAGCAGGTAGGAACCCTGTGAGGGTGCAGCCCAAGGCTGGGCATTAACACCACACCCCAGAGCTGGGGGGAGGAGGGAGGGGACTTTACCATTTGGTGGAGATGGTGAAGGTTATGATGACCTTGTTTTGATCTCAGGGGAGGCATGTCCGCTCTGCAGGGATATTTCCGAGGAAGTCCAGTGAGATGCTGCATGGTGACCTTGCAGCAGGGACACAGGGATGAGTTCTAGGTTACCTAGAGAAGGGAGGGAGGGAGGGAGGCCTAGGGTGGGCACGGGGCATCAGCCTGGGTTGTTCTTGGATCGGTGAGTTTGTTCTGGTGACAGTTCTCCGGAAGGGATAGGAGCTTTAAAGTGGGTTCGTGGTCTCCTGGTAATCAGAGGCCTGTGTGGCCGAGGCTGGCTGGGCTGGATGTTTTCTGTTCCTGGTGACCGTGGAGCTGTTGCCCCCAGGATCTGAGCGAGGTGGGGAGGAGACTGGGCTCCAGGGAAGGACCAGGGCCTCCACCCCTGCTGGCAGCTGATGGGGTTGGGACAAGCGCTGAGGGGCCACAGGACTCGTGTTGAAGTGTTCTTGGTTCTTCTAGAGAACAGAATAGGGGTGCAGAGGCCACGGCTACCCTGAATGGTGGTTTGCTGTGGTCTTTCTGGAGCGCGGGGTAGGCCTTGTGGGTTTTTGCCTACTCACGCTGCCACACGTGATGCACATGGCTCCATGTCCCCTGCTGCTGGGGGTGTGTGGGGACTCAGCCCTACCTGCTCCCCTCGATACCCCTCTTTTGGTGGCCTCGGCCTCTCGGAGAACATTTGGCTCCTGTCTAATCCTGAGAGCACCCAGGGTTTCCATATTGCCCTAAAGCTATTCACTTGGTAATATAGAAAAAAATTTGCCCCTGGAAGAGCCAACATGGGAATCTCTGAGGGCAGTCTGGTGGGGATGTCTGTGTATGTGGGTCTGGCTTCCTGGGTCCCCTAAGGCAGCCCCCTCTCCTGTGGGCTCCTTTACTGGAATTGGAAGGTTCCCAAGACCCACAGCCCGATGGCTGTCAGACTCACTGGGAATCTTCAGGACAGCGTCCTGGCCTCACCCCAGGCCAGCAAGGCCAGAAGGTATTGGGGTACAGCTGGCGCATCGGGTTGTTTTCAGATCTCAGCCTGGGAATAAAGTGCGGCCAGGGATGTAGCCCGGCTCAGGGAAGAGGTGGTGGTTGCCTCCTTTGTCTCCCGAGGAGCCTTGGCTGCACAGAGCCTGTGGTCCACATCAGGAACCACCATCCCATGTCCTGAGCAGAGGCTGAGCTGAGGTCTCCACCCCAGAATCCTTGTCAGACCTTGTGCTATGGGGAGGCAGCCCTGAGCTTCCCATCACCACTAATGACACCAGTGCCACCTCCCAGCCCTGGCCCTTTTTCTTCCCCTTTTGCCCCCCACCCTCCAACCACAGAGGTTCCATTGGACCCTTAGAAGGAGGAGGGATCTGTCTGCTGCCAGAGGGGCCAGTCAGGACAGCATACATTGGAGGGAGTGATGAGGGCTGAGCTGTTGGGCACCTGCTTGCCTAGGCCCATGTGGCCGGGGCCTGGGGCAGCTTTTGGTTGCTGGGATGATGATATGACTTCTTTCCTGAGTTCTCTTGGCTCTGATGTCCCTGAGTCTGTCCATCTTTTTCATGGAAAATAATTTGGAAAAATGGAAGGAGATGGTGGGAAAGTGTCTTTTTCCCTCTTTCCTGTCCCCTGGAGTGGCACAGACGAGACCCTGGTGGTGGTTCCCATCCACACGCTTGCAGCGTTGGGAATCGCCTGAGCCTGGGCAGTGCTGGTGGGGCCAGGCACCTCGTCCCAGTGACCTGCCTGGCCGTTGTCTGCCATGTCATTGAGGCGCTTGCACCTCTCCTCCTGTGCACCGTCAGAGCCTTCATTCCCCTGGGATCTAGTGTGCGGACTGAACGACTGGAGCCCAGCATCATTTGTATGATGTAATAACAGACAATGTAGGGCTGCTAAGAAGAGGGGGAAGCTGAAGTACACAACCGACAGCTGAGCTCTGTGCACGTGCATGGGATCATCTACATGTGATTGAGACCTCGTGCAAAGGCCTGCTCTGTCCCTGAGGTTTGCTGCGCTTCAGGCCACTGCGTCCTCTGCTTCCCGTGTCTTCTGTATATGGCATCATCAGGGAACAGAATTTAGGGTGCAGTACATGTACTGTGTTATGGCCATCTTTTAGGGAACTAAAGGGCCCTGATGAATCTTGCAGGGAGCCTATTACATCTATGAGAATCTGTATTTTGGCAAAGGCTAAAGAGTGTTAATTTCGGAACACTGCGTGACCCTTGCAGCCAGTGCTGCATTCTTCTCACAGACTGTGGATGTGGAAGGTTGTGCTTTGTCACTGGGGTGGTGAGAGGAAGGCTGAGGCCATCCACATATCAGATTAGAGGGTTTGGAAGGGACCCCATGGTGTCCTGGGCACGACATAAACAGAAACGTCCCCTTGTGTGCAGGTGTCATTTCGTTCATGGGGGATTCCTCACCAGTGAGTATAGCAACGGAGATAATGATGGAGCAGGTGAAGGAGCATTGCCAAGACCTCAGGATCCAGCTGGAGACCAAGGTGAGGGGAGCCAGAGGCCCACAGGGTGATGAGGGTGGCCCGTTGCTTGCAGATGGCTTTCCCAGCTGTGCCGGTGCTTCCACCTGCATCTGTCCTGGAGTCCTCTGCCTTGTGAGGAGCCCGCATGGGGAAGAAAGTGTGCAGGGCTATGGAAAGGAAATTGACGTTATGCCCCACACCCTCTCAAGGAAGCAGGTTGTGGGAATGCCCAGTAGTGGGAGGGAGTGGCTTATGCCCTAGTGTCACAGGGGATGTGCTGAGGGTGGCCCCCCTGCTTGTCTCTGTTGGGAATCACTGTTCCTGGCTCTGTTCTAAGCTCAAGTGACCTTGGCATTGCCCAGTGTGGGGTACTCAGTGGCTTTTTGGCCAGGCCCAACCTGGCTGAGTCTGTCCTTGTGGGTGAACTTGTCTCCTGCTCTGCCATTAGGCAGTGGTGGGTTTTAAGGGACAGTGTCCAGAACTTCTTGTCATGTGTCCAGTTCCTTGGTCTGAGCAGCAGTGAGGTGGGGCCGCCTCTGTCCTGCACTTGTACCCGTGGTCCCCTGGATGGAGTAGCTGGAAGCTGCTGAGGTAGCTCCTTCGGTCTGGGGCCTCACAGTGCTCAGAACCACCTGTGGGATTTGTGAAGGCTCCCAGTTCTCAAAGTAGTTGTCACACCCTGTTCTTTCTTGCACTCTGGCCAGACACCCAGCCCAGCTTGGCCCCGAGCCTCTTGTTCCCCCCACTGGACCTTCCTCACGAGTGATGAGGTGCCATAGGTGGCCATGCTGGGCCATCTGGAGCATTGCTGTCCCCTTCTGCAGACCTGTTGGGCCTGGGCTGTCGGCTCTCTGGACGTTGCGCCTGACACCGTCATACTTCGGTGTTGTGTTGTCAGCTAGGTCATTTTTAGGACCTCCTGACTATGTTGCTCATGTTTCTCTTTTTAGGTAAATTACTATGAGAGGGAAATCGAGGTAATGAAAAGAAACTTTGAGAAGGAGAGAAAGGAGATGGAGCAGACTCACCAGCTTGAGGTTGATGTCCTGGAGGATCAGAAAGTGGACCTGGAGATGCTCCACGCCAAGTCCCAGGAGGTCATCCGAGGCCTGCAGGAGCAGCTGCGGGACGCTGCCCGCTGCCCCGAGCAGTGCTGCGCCCGGGCGCTCTCGGGCCTGGCCCAGCGGCTGGAGGGGGAGCTGCACCGGCGACATCAGGACCAGCTGCAGCAGATCAGGTCCAGGCACTCTCTTTGGGACATTCAAGTCCACAGTTTCTTGCCAAGAGCCAAGACTTGAGATTAGCTGTAGGCAAATTGCTCAGAATTACAGTGCCCACCCCTGGGGTTTCCTCTGGGCAGGAAGACGAGGCTGAAAGAGCAGGGACGTGGCGAAGATCCCACAGCCCTAAACCAGTGGGAAAGATGGCTAGTTTGGCTAGTGAGATTCTTGGAAAGGCTAAAATGCTTGCACAAATGGGAGAAAAGGCTTATTTGGAAAACCTGAGTATGATATTCTGTGTGTTACAGTGTCAGAGTTACGTGAGAAGTGACCACGTGCCTGTTCTGTCGCACGAATCTGACGTAGTAGGGTCACCAGTATCTAGTTACTGCAGATGCTGAGCTGCTTCACTGGGGCTCACTGCTCCATGGAGAGCGTCAGGCCCCTCCTACCAGACTGGCCAGGTCCCCTGCCCACAGCAGGGCCAGGGCCTCCCACTGCCCAGAGTGGAGCATACAGCAGGTGGCTGCGGAGCCGTGAGGGGGCGTTGTGTGGGGTGGGCTGGGTTCAGGCACCGGAGCTGAGTGGGCATGACCTCATCACCACACTGACAGCAGGAGGCCCCGACCTTCCGTGGGCATGGAGGTGGCCGGGTATGTGGGATGTGATGAAGATGACTCTGCACTCTCTCTTCCTTTCTCCCCTCCAAAGTGACACCAGTGGAGCAGCCCCAGGCTGTCAGGCCATCATCAGGGGCTTGCAGAACCCACTTACCATCCCGGGAACAGATGGAAAGTCTTTAGGTCACGTGCTTCCCTTGAGCTTTAAGCTCTTTTCTCTTAAGCCCCAGGAGTACATGATAAGGGACTTGACCAGAGAATTGCAGACCCCAATGGGGAGGCATAGGGACAGGTATAGGTGGCTGCCCTTCCTCTCAGTGTCAGGCCCATGTGCACCTGGCCGCCCATCCCGAGCTGTCTCGGGTCCTGGGGAGCTGCTCTTAGCCGGGCTCACAGTCACCCCTCTGCATGGAGGTGGAGCCATAGCCAGCCCCTTCCACTCTCTGCCACCTGCTCCTCTAGGCCTGGTGCTCCTGTCCAGTAGGCCCAGCAGCTTAAGGGCTTTTCTGGGGCAGCTTTGACTATGGGTGAGTTTCTCCCATGTCACTAAAACTTTGGATCAGTGCTGTCCAACAGAACTTGCTGCATGAGGACATGTCCTGTGTCTGTTCTGTCTATTTCAGCAGCCACCGGCCATACACGCTTCCTGAGCTCTTGAAATATGGCCAGTGTGACTAAGGGACTGAATTTTCATTTTTTTCAGTTGTAATTACATTACATTTAAGCAATCACGTGTGCATGGCTTCTGCATTGGCTTCTGTTGTAGAGCCTGATTGCGTTGGGGACAGAACCTCCACTGGACTAAGAAGGGTCCTGGGTGTGAGTTTAAGCCCTGGGGTGTAGGGTGAGGAAAGATGACGTCACCAGGGAGAGAGGAGTGACGTGGCTGGAACAAAAGCTTGGGGGGCCTGGGTTTAGAGCTGCAGAGCCGCAGCGTGCATGGCACGCTGTTTCTGTGGGAGAGAGACAGAAGTCGAGCTGAGCCAGGAGCTGTCGTGGATGGAGGCCCTGCAGACCTCCCACCATGAGAGCCTGTCCCCGCAGCATGAGCACAAGAAAGACAAGCTGGTGCAGGTGAGAGGTGGAGAGGCAGCTGGGCCTGGAGCAGGAGCGGACAAGCAAAGAGAAGGCGCAGATGTGCATGTTGTTGGCCTTCGAGAAGAAGTTGGAACTCACCTGTAGGAAGCAGGTGGAAGGGCTGGTCCAGGAAGTGGAGGCGCTGCAGGCCCTCTCAAAAGATGGGTTGGCAGTGACAGGGAGAGGCCAGGAAGGTGCACACAGTCCTGTAACCCTGTGTCTGGGCTGGGGGGAGTGGCCATCTGCCCAGCTGGAGCCAGGTGATGGCGGAGAAATTGGGGAGTTGGCAGGAGATGGGCCTGGCTGTGGGCCAGCCAAGTGCTGGCATGTGCCAGGCCAGCCTTGCTGTGCAGACGCCATGTAGAGCCCTGCCCCTGCCCCAGCCCTGGTGTCAAAGGGGCCCTTCAAGAGCCTCAGCAAGAACCTTCAGGGATTGCTCAACACCCAAGAGGTGGCTTCTGTTCTCTCTGAGAGGTGGACACACGTGCCAGAAGAACCAGTGCCTTCTGCCAGGGGCCCAGGGAGCTTTAGACAGCCCACAGTCCATGAGCTGCTCTTGTTGAGCCCAGCCACCTGGGGAAGGGCAGAGGTTGAGAGGCCCTAGACCATTTTGGAGGAACAGGCTGGGAGCCTGAGCAGGGCGCTGGTCTCCGTGGGGCATCAGCAGGCAGGGATGGAGTGTGGCCTGGAGGCTGGGCTCCTCTACAGCAGGGAGGCCGCGAGGAGGGGGCTCTCACCATCCCAGCCCAGGCTTGCAGACCCATGGGGGGCTGGGCAGGAACAGATTGCCACCCTGGGTGAGATGGTGCTGGAGAGATTGAAGAATTACATGAAAACCAAACTGCTACAGCTGGAAGACGTCATCCGGGCTCTCAAGAAAGAAGCAGATTCAAGAGAGAAGGACAGGTTTGGTTTCCACTTATCCTTAACTTCTGCCACTAGTCACTGCTGCCCGGGCCCTTTCCTACCAACAGGTCTGCAGACTGGCGGGCTGGCTGTGTGACTCTCATGCCTGTGTGGGATCACGAGCCTGTCTGCAGGCATCCCACGGATCACTGGTGAGTCACTAGTGGGCACAGTGAGGCAGGCAGGCCTTTCTGGGGCAGCTCAGCTGGCTCTTGTGTCCCTGCCTTTGTGCACGGGAAGTTCTTGCTGCTCTCACAAGGACAGTCATCCTGGTTGGAGGCCCCATGCTCATCTTGGGCTGTCCATGCTCGTCCTGGGCACGTCCTGGGCCTGCCAAACCTGAGAGAGGCAGGAGGGTGGGGGCTGCAGCCCACCCAGTGCGTGTGCCAGGCCCTGTCCTTGGGCCTGGGGATCACAGTGACCCGGCAGGTCCCGGCGCCGTTGGAGGGGCAGCAGCAGCAGAAGAGGAGCCCATCCAAGTGTTCTGAGCGGCCTGGGAGGCTGAGGTCTGCTTAGTGCCCCAGGGCTGGGAGATGCATTGCAGCTGACGCCTGCTGGGAAGCCTCGAGGTGCGGAGCAGGCCTGAAGACATCTTGCTGAGAGGGCCCTGTGTGGGGCCAGGGCTCATTTGCTTTATGGCAGAAGCCAGGAATTCCAGGAGGGCTTTTCCAGATGCTGCAGAGCATGGTTGCAAAAGCCCTTCCCTGGCTCCTCCTTGGAGACAGATGTTCACGGGCACTTGCGTGGCCACGTGCAGGCTTGTGACATGGTCTGTGCTCCATGTGTGGTATCACTAACTGCCACACAGTACACCTGTGAGGTGTTGGGAGGGAGGCCTCAGGAGGTCACTGCTGCTTGTCCAGGCAAGTGGCACTGACACAGCAGACATGGACGTGTCCTGGGATGAGTGGTGAGACCCACATTCCGGCTCACATGCCAGCACAGGCTCTCCTGGGGAGCTGGGGGCAGGTTGCTTCCTTGAAAAGAAAAAAAAAAGTGTGGGATTTACGATAAACCAAGAGGATAAAATGTCAGTGCACAGCCCATTTTAGTAAAGGGAATATCAGTGATTAGCCAGAAGCCCTGGTATCTCCCAGGCCTCCCAAAGGGTTGCTCTTCACTGTCCAGATGTTTCTTTATGCTTTTCCCTCTTGGGTGGGTGTCCCCAGTCATTGGACGGTGTTCACTGGGCACTGCTGTGTGCCGGGCTCAGGTAGGGATTTCACTGGAGCAAATGAGATCTGGAGCTTTCAGCCCCATGGAGGGCACCACACTTGGTGGTGCCCCAGTGTTATGAAGAAGGATGTTCCCACATTTTATGGATTAGGAAACAAAGGGCTGTGCTGCTGGATGGTTTGCATTTTCCAAGGACACAGACAGATGTAGAGAAAGCCTAGGGGAGTATATGGAAACTGCAGATTCAAGCCGATGGCTCCCTAGGTGGGCCGGGACTCCTAGTCTGAGTTGGGCTATCTGGGAAGGCTGGTGACAAGGCTCCCTTGAGGCTGCCTGCCTGTGTTGGGCATAAGGGGAGCAGCCAGGGTGGGTGGTAGGGATTTGGCAAGTGGGGAGTTGGGGTGTGCAGAAGCGAAGGTGGACAGGAGCAGCTCTTGTGGGAACGGGGAGGGTTCCCAGAGCAAGCTGCTGGGGCCTGAGTGGGCAGCTGCGTGGACGTGCCCGTGGTTGTCAGGAGGACTGGCTGCCGCGAGAAGAGCAGATAGTGGGGCAGTGGCAAGGGGGCTGGAGCCAGAGGATCAACTGCAGCAGAGGTGCAGGAAATTCACAGGCAGGAGTTTGGAGGCTGAATTTAAGGGGGTTACAGGTGGGCACAATACAGGCAGGGAGGTTGGAAGTGGGTCACGGCACCATCAGTGGACACCTGGAAATGACACTCATGCTTGCAGTACTGCCCCTGCAGAGAGAAGGGGAGGAGCTCCAGAGGAAGAGGGAACGACGGGGCTGGTGTCTTTTGAGGAGGGAGGGTCACCTGTGTCTGGAACCACTGAGAGGCCAGTTCATGTGAGACTGGTAGCTTGAAGGTACCCCTGAGCCCACCAGCACCCCTCACCCCAGCTGGGCCCCCAGCTCCAGCTCCTGCTCTGGGAGGGCATGTCTGTCCCCAGCACTAGCTATGGGCCCTTGGCCACAACTCCCAGCTTGTCATTCTTGCAGCTCCTTTTAGTGAAACACATGGGACCCCCTCCTCGAGTCCACAGCAGCTGCAGAGCCTGTCTGGGTGAAGGTCAAGTGTGCAGGATCTTGAAGGCCATGGTGAAGATTTTGGCCTTTATAATAAGAGAAAGCAAAGTCCAGAAAGTGGCTCTGGGCTGTGAAAGAATCCATGCCGGCAGTTTAGAGAAAGCAGGAGTGGTCGGAACACCCCAGGGCCTGAGTTTGTCCACTGTCGCTTTACC